TGAAAGCCAATAGAATAGACTCTCTTGAATAGAGTCTAATTCTATTGGCTTTCAAAAGCCAATAGGAATTGTCCAGGCTGTCTCTGCCCTGCTGAGCCCGCCAAAAGTCCCATTCTGCAAACGGTGCTGCAGGTTGTCTGCAGCGAAGGTGAGCTGTCTGGAAGTTTCCACCCCTCCCTGCTGAGCAACTACTAAAAATGTAAGTAAAAGAGGGGCAGAGGTGGGAGGTGGGAGGCCAGCGGGCACAGGGAGGGTTGCTGGCGCGTGCGGGGCCCGGCGGGTGCTTTACCTCCCTTGGGCTGGGCCACCTGGTGGCCCAGCCGGTGATCAGCCTGCTCTGTTTCTGCTGCTTGCAAGCTACGCCTCGGCCGGCGCAGGGGGTGGCACCACACATGCGCGGCGCTCCCGGGCAGGGAAAGTCCTCGACTTATGACCGGTTGGGTAGTCCTCGACTTACGACCGGTTGGGTAGTCCTTGACTTACGACCGGTTGGGTAGTCCTCGACTTACGACTGGTTGGGGGTCGCGGCATTAAAAAGGTTGAGAACCACTGCATTAGACAAATACACATTGTCACTGTTCTTGTTATAATGACATATATTTTTCACATTTTTTTCATCTTTTGTTAAAGCAATTTTTGTGGGTTTTTTTTAATCTCTCTTATTTTTTTTGTATGTTATTATTAACAAGCAATAAAAATACGTTTTAAAAAGACAAAGGTAACCTTATGCAGTAAAGAGCTTCCCGAAGGCTGAAGCAGTTCCTAGTGCAGAACCTCATCCATATTCTGGCAAACAGTGGCCTTGCCCATTGTGGCAATCACTGTATGAATAGACTAATCTCTCCCATAGTATCACAGCCAGTTTGTTTTAATTGCCTGTAAGCATTTTCTCAAAATTCCAAATGTGCCTGCTGGCCTGAAAAGCTGTTTAATTATGCAATACAGTAGTTATGCAGCAAAACATCACAGGGATTCAAAATTTCAGCTTTGCTTTGTGCAAAGAGGACCTTTTTGATTAAGGTCTCTCTCTTTTCTAACAGCTTTTAATGGCTTTTCTTCTTGACTAGAACAGAATGGTGAGGCTTTAAAGATTTGTTTATGGATAAGATATGAGGAGAAAAAAGTGTTGTTATTTTTAGAGAAAGGGATAAACTGTGATATTATAATTCAGAGGAGATGAAGAGAAGATAAATTAATTTGTGGGGCACCGTTTGAAGGGATTAAATATTAATATTTTCAATTTGTTTTTTTCTAGCAGCTCTTAATGGATTTTTTTATTAAGTTTGAGGAAATTTTAAAGATTTATTTATAAATACTAAATATTACCTGGGAATAAAGTTTTAGATAAAATGACAAGGTGTTGTGTAAAATACAAGAAAGAACTATGAATGACTTGTTTAAAAGATGGATGGATGGATATTTCTGTTAGTTCTTAATGGACTTTTGCTGATTAAGATTGAAAAATGGGGTTTTATTGCCATTAGATAAAAAAATGAGATTATAGGATGAAAAGAGTTTTGGTTGCAATATTAGAGAATGTATTAAGTTTATAAAAGTTTATACTTGTCTTGATTAAGGGAAAGTTATTTTTTTTTTCTTTTCCTTTTGATATATTGTAATATATGAGTGGTAGGGAAATTGGTGGGGAAAATGGTTGCATTGTAATTCCAGAAAGTACTGGATGACATGGATTGTGTGGACCCATTCCAGTCAGGTTTCAGGCCATGGGAGAGAAACAGCATCTCTTGAGGGAAATGGGCAGTTTAGATAGATGATTGATAGATAGATAGATAGATAGATAGATAGATAGATAGATAGATAGATAGATAGATAGATAGATAGACAGACAAGGAAGGAAGGAAGGAAGGAAGGAAGGAAGGAAGGAAGGAAGGAAGGAAGGAAGGAAATTAAGTAAGGAAGTTGCACTTGTGGATAATCTTTGATGAAAGCAGGATGAGGTAGTGTATTCACCCTTGATCTCCTTGACCGCTCAGCAGCTATCCTTTTGAGTCGACTAAGGGGTTTGGGGCTGGGTGGGCCAATATTTGTCCTGGCTCAATCGCTTTTTCCAAGGGCCGGTCCCAATTGGTGTTGATAGGGAGTGAGCAATCCAGCCCATGGCCACTCCTTTGGGGAGTACCACAGGGCTCACACTCTCTGTTCCTTTTTAACATCTACATGAAACTGCTGGCCGAGATCGTCCAACACCATAGGATGAAGTATCAGCATACTGATGATACACAGTTTTAGACCTCCGTCCCCTGTGATCAGCCTCAGTGCCTGGAGGTTATAGGGCTCCGGATGGGGGACAACAGGCTTTAGCTGAATCCTGGCAAGACAGAGTAGCTGTGGGTGCAAAGAACCTCAGGATCCAGTTTATCATCTTTAGTTCTGGATGGGGTTGCACTACCCCAAACAAACCCGGTGTGCAACCTGTGGGTTCTCCTGCACTCATGATTACTGCCTAAGAACAGGTGGCAGTCATGGCTAGGAGGATCCTTGTGCAATTTTATTTTGTCTGCCATTTGCACTCTCAATGGATTGTAAGGACCTGTACATAGTCACTTATGCCCTTTTATTTCTCGGTTGGATTATTGTAATGTGCTCTACATGGGCCTACCCTTAAAGAGCATTCACAAACTGTAGCTGGTATAAAATGCAGAAATTCCTGTAACACCATTGTTGTGCAAGCCGCATTGGATACCAATTTGCTTCTGGGTCCAATTCAAGATGTTATTACCTTTAAAAGTCCTATATAGCAGGGCTTTTCAACATTTTCACCGATTGTATATATTCAAGTACCATTAGTCACTTAGCAAAAATTTGATGACCAAAAAAAAAAAAGGAAAAAAGTGATAAAATACTGGTAGTCCTGGACTTACAACAGTTTGCTTAGTGACTATTCAAAGCTACAATGGCACTGAAAAAAGTGACTTATGATCATTTTTCACACTTACGATCGTTGCAGCATCCCCAGGATCATGTGATTTACATTTGGATGCTTGGCAACTGATTCATGTTTATGATGGTCACAGTGTCCCAGGGTCATGTAATACCCTTTTGCAACCTTTTGACAAGCAAAGTCAATGGCCGGGGGGGCGTGGCCAGTTCAATGTCATTCAGATCAGGGGGCAGGCGGGGCTGTGGGGGTGATCCGGGGGTCTCCAGTGGAAGGGGTGGGATTGGGGTGGGCATCGGGGCATGATCCACCAGAGGAGCCTTGTCATCCCTCTTGGGCTGCGTGGGGGACTCTTAGATGGTGGCGCAGGCTGCCCAGAGCCCTGAACAGAGGGCAAGTGCCCAGCCTGGCCCTCAAGCTCCCAGGACACCAGGACACCACAGCCCAACAGTCCAGCCTCACTTGCCCAAGGGGGACCTGGCTGCGCTTACCTCCTTGAGGCTGCTGCTGCTGTGCTCACTCTCCTTGGCCAGGTTGCTCATGGTGAGTGCAGGAGGGCAAAGTGCATGGGTCAGAGGGAGACCCACTCCCTCTTCATGTGAGGAGACCCAGCTTTGTAACCAAAGCATCCTCAGCGACAGGATGGGAGACCACCAGGAGAGGCCAGGAGGAGGGGGCAAGGGGATGGCAAAAGGGCCGCTGGTGGCCAAGTAGTAAGGCAGAACTTCCTTCAGACCCTCCCTCCCTCTCTTTCCAATCTCCCACCTTCCTTCCTTCCTCCCTCCTTCCCTGCCTCTCTGCTTTTCATTTCCATCTCCTTCCTTCCTTCCTGTTTCCCTCCCTCCATCCTTCCCTGCCTCCCTTTTTCTTATTCCCATCTCCTTCCTTCCCTTCCTTCCTGTTTCCCTCCCTGCATCCTTCCCTGCCTCCCTCTTTCTCATTCCTATCTCCTCCCTTCCTTTCTATTTCCCTCCCTCCTTTTCTGCCTCCCTTTCTCATTCCCATCTCCTTCCTTCCACCCTCCATGCCTCACCTCCAGCCGATGGTGCCTTTTTTCATTCCTCGTGGAGGGTGACCCCTCCCATCTGTTTCTCCTGTTTTTCGCTGCCACCTATGCGCGCGCTTGGCACAGATGGCTGCCACAAAGTTTTAGATCTGCTCCCAGCCGGCCTGTTTCATCTCCTTTCCTCTTTCCCCCCTCCTCCTTCTTTTCCCTTCGGTGCAGCTCCAGCTGACTCCTCCTCCCAAGGCTGCATCTTTTTTCTCTCTCCCTCTCCTGGCAAAACTGCCTCTTTTTATAGCCTCTCCTGTCTCTGCCCTCCTCCTCCTTTCTCTTCTGGGTGAGCCAGAAGTGCCTATCCTGAGGCCTTTGTCTCGCCCCAGCAGCTCTGCAGCTCCTGAGGACTCTCTCATGGCAAGTCCTGCGCTGCGCCGCTTTAGCTTGTTCCCTCCCCCACTACACTTGGCAGGGTCACGTACCACCTGCCAGATGCCAATATACCACCGGTATATAGCATGGGTCCTGGGTATCTGAGGAGCAATTTCATCCCAATGGAACTAACCTGCCCCAGCTGAGCCAGGTCTGCTACAGAACCTATCTGCTAAGGAATTTCAGCAGACAGGGTCAAGAAGAAAAGTCTTTTCCACTGTGGTTCCAACCCTACCCTGTGGAACATTCTGCATTGTAGGTGAAAACTGTCCCTATCCTTTTGGCCTTCTCGAAGATTATTAGAACTTCCTCCAGCGCTCACTGCTGGAGGTAGTTGATGGGGTAAGACCTCATGCCTGGATTGTCCCTGCAACCAGTGGTGGGATTCAAATTTGTGAACAACCGGTTTTCTGTGTGGATGCCACTTCCGGAAGACAATTCTGGGCCTGGGCAACAAAAAAGTTAGCTACCGGTTCTGCTGAAGTGGTGCGAACTGGCTGAATCCCACCACTGCCTGCAACCATATTGTTTATAAAGAAACACTTTCATATTACATTAGTTCAGTTTCCCTTGCTGTATTTCCTATTCAACTGATGCAGTTATTAACTTCATAATATAGAATTGCATTCTATAGCTGTGCATACTGTTTATGTAATTTTTTTTCTCTTGAAGCTGATGCCAGTCTTGGTGCTGATGACATATATGATGAAAGAGGATGTCAGTGTGATGTATCAGTAGAAGATCTAACCCCAGCACTTAGAACAGTTATCCGAGCTATCAGGTAAGAAAAATGTACACTTAAGACATACTCCTATTGATCTCATTAGCATAGTCTAACACAGGGGTGTCAAACTCAATTTCATTGAGGGTCGCATCAGCATTGCGGTTGCCCTCGGGGGGCCAGGTGGGTGTGGCCAGGGTGGGTGCGGCCTACTGGGTGGGCATGGCCAGCTCTACATCATTCGCGTCAAGGGTGCCTGTGGGGGCCTGGGCATGAGTGGGACAGATCTGAGGGTCTCTGGCAGAAGGAGGTGGGACCAGGGCAAGCGCCAAGGCATGGTCCATGTCCTCATTCCTCACAAAGGGTAACACCTCCCCAGCATGCACCCAGGGGGCGGGGCCAACGTGGCAGGGGCTGATTCCTTGCTGTTTCCAGACGGCCTTGTGGAGCTAAGACTGAATGCATTTCAGCATAGATGGCCACCACAAAATTGTACATTGGCTCCCGGCTGGCCTGGGCCAGGGCCAAGGCAGTGGGGGCTGTTCCCTCACTGTTTCCAGGATTGCTTCACGGGCCACATGAAACCACTTCGCGGGCTGCATCCAGCCCTGGGCCTTGTGTTTGACATGTCTGGTCTAACACTACATGTAAGACTTTTCATAAACAGATAATATAACAAAAGAACTGAACGGGGTTGGACAAGATATGAGCTTTAAGTTCCCTTCCATTGCTAAGAATCTGTGATTATATAATGTACTGAACATCACTTACACATTGATGAGGAAACTGAATTTATTATATATCAGATCTGGGAACTTTTCAGCTTCCCAGGCCACATCCAGCCTGCAGGATACAGGTAGTCCTAAGCTTACAATCATTCATTTAGCAACCATTTGAAGTTGCAACAACACTGAAAACAAATGACTTACGACCGGTGCTCTCATAGCTTCCCTTGCATTCATCTGATTGAATGATTTAATATTTAAAATGAGTAAGAATAAAAGTTTTTAGATCGCTACATGTTTTTTCCCTCATGCTATAGACTGCATTCGTTCTTCAAGGTAAGAATGTTCATAGAAAAATTCATTAGGTTAATTGGGAAGGTCTTACCAACTATTTGGAGGGTTTACATAGGCATATTAATCATCAAAGCAATTACAGATGTTAATATCTCAAGTACTTTTTGCATGGTTGTCAGTCGAAGAAGAATTAGCATTCTTAACCAGTTTGGAATCTTGTTCAGTGTATACGGTATTATGAATGTAACCCCATTAGAATGAATTATTGTCAGCTTTTTAAATGCATAAAAGATATATGAATTACTGATTTGGGATAATATTCCTTCTATAGAATCATGAAATTTCATGTTGCCAAAAGGAAGTTTAAAGAAACTTTACGTCCCTATGATGTCAAAGATGTCATTGAACAGTATTCAGCAGGACACCTGGATATGCTGTATAGAATTAAAAGTCTTCAATCTCGGTAAGGGGACAAAAAGTCCTGTTATAAAAGAGTCTCATTGTATACATAATCTGAGTTATACAATTCAAGACATTTAATTTTTTGTGGTAGTTATATTTCTTCTGTTTTTTTAAATATTTCATTTTCATTTTTCATATGGTAGTCATATTTCATTCTGTTTATGTCCAGGATATGAGACCCCTAACATGCTATTTCAACTTCTTCCCTCAAGATGATGCTATAGGGCATTGCACGCCAAAACAACCAGGCACAAATACAGTTTTTTCCCCATGCCATCACTCTGCTAAACAACTAATTCCCACAATACTGTCTTATGCCCTGGGATGTCAAACCATTTAGTAGGGCTGTATTACTATTACTATTATCTTTCTCATCTTTCTTATTACCTATTTCCTTAGCTTCTTATGACTATAACTTTGTTGTTTGTATCTCATACTTTTATTTAGTATCCTATTATGATTTATGGTGATTATTTAGTATCCTATGACTATCACTGAGTGCTGTATCTTATGATTTATTATTGTATTTTATGATTATGATTTATCACGTTGCTTGTATGTACACTGAGAGCTTATGCACCAGAGACAAATTCCTTATGTGTCCAATCACAATTGGCCAATAAAGAATTCTATTCTATTCTATTCTATTCTATTCTATTCTATTCTATTCTATTCTATTCCATTCCATTCCACTCCACTCCATTCCATTCCACTCCACTCCACTCCACTCTCCATTCCACTTCATTCCATTCTTTTTCCTTGCTGTGCCCTTCTTTCCTACAACCTGATTTATATCCACTAAAACCTTTTTAGTATTATTAAACTTTATCAACTCTGACCATTGGAAAGTTGCAAGCTGATTTTGACAGTTTCTTCCTAGTATACACAGAGAGAAAAATCTGACATCAACAATTCGTCTGTAACAGAATATTGTATCTGACAGAAACAAACACATTTGTTAGTCTTGATCACATTTAGTTAAACTATTTAAATTACATACATATATTTAGAAATGATCACAATGGAAAGTATTAAAATAGTCATGTTAATGTCTGCCCTCAATAAAAATCTAAGTATGTTTGCCCAATAATTAAAATATATTTTACTTAGGCCCCAAAGTATTGCCTTTTGAAGCCTTTTATGCATATTTCTATATCTAATTATCTTGCAGGGTTGATCAGATTCTTGGAAGGGGACAAATTACCACTGATAAAAAAAATCGAGAGAAAAATACTGTAGAGAATGAGACAACTGATGACCTTAGCATGTTAGGGCGCGTAGTCAAGGTGGAAAAACAGGTAAAGAGCATGAGGCTTCTTTAGGTACTGAACAACAAATTCAGGAATAAAATTCATTGTTAATATTTGCTAGCTAATTTCCATTTCTTCATGCAATAATACGACTGTACAAAATTATTTTATTGAACTCAAAAATGTCCATGGTATTTTGCACAATTTTATCACTGTACTATTATTTTATGGAATATACAGAGAATATTCATGCAATTTATATCCTACGTGATTCATAGAGACATCTCATGAATTTGCATGATTTTAGTATAATTTATTAATGGTCAATTGGAATGAATGACAACTTGAACCATATGCTTTTCATTAAAATTACCGATTGTAAAAAAAATGTAATGATTGAACAACATTCAATTTTTTTCTTTGCAATATACTATTTTGTAATTTGTAATTTCGATGAAGTCTCATTCGTCATCTTCAGGCTGGTGTTTTCAGCTTCGTGCTCCTAGAAGCATTGCTTATATATATTTATTTATTTGTATATAGCAATACCATACATGATGAAATATGTACTGTAGGTTATAAATGTTATTTTAATGACATGAATCTTAGTTTATGAACATCAACGATCCTAAATATTTTTTTCTTCTATCTCTAGGTTCAATCCATTGAATCAAAATTAGATTCATTACTAGACATTTATCAACAGGTTTTGAAGAAAGGATCTGTGTCTGCATTGACTTTAGCTTCGTTTCAAATGCCGCCTTTTGAATGTGATCAAACTTCTGGTTATCAGAGTCCTGTAGATAGTAAAGATTTGTCTAATTCTGCTCAGACTAGTGGATCTGTTTCCAGATCAGCCAGTGTCAACATGCCATGTGGCCTACAGCTTATATTGACACCAAATGAATTCAACACTCAAGCTTACTATGCCTTTAGTCCAATTATGCATAGTCAAGCCACACAGGTGCCAAGCGATGGATCTGTAACTCTGTCCACTAATAATGCACTAAACCAAATAAACCAGACATCTAAACCAACAGCACCCACTACATTACAGATACCCCCCTTTTCATCAGTAAAGCATATCAATAGGCTGGAGCCTATTAATTTTATTCCTGTTAACACACAGGAAAATACTCCTGATGTCACCACTTGCCTTGTTGCTTCAAAGGATAATGGACAAAGTGCACAGTCCAGCATGACAAAGGATCTTTCATGGAGAAAAAGCCTTGATACAGAGAGTGAACCTCTAGTCTCTGTGAAACCAATAGTACAAATGGATATAGAAAAATCACTGTCAGTACAAAATCTTATACCGTCAACAGCTGAAGAACTGAATCTACAGATTTCTGGAAGTGATACCAGTAGTTCAAGAAGTAGCCAAGAACTATATAGCAAATGGAGGGAATCAAAATTATTTATAACCGATGAAGATTTGGAAACAGAGAGAGAAAATGAAACTTTTGAAACCATTACCCACCCATTAGTGGAAACAACTCTCTCTACTGACTCTCTAAGGACTGGAATGTCAAGATCATCTCAAAGTATTTGCAAGCCAGGAGACAGCACAGATGTTCTCAGCCTTCCTCATGTCAAACTTAAATAACATTTTGTTGGTTTTGTTCAAAGCTAAGTAATCCTTGCAAGGCATGGACATTTTGAAAACCCTTTAATTATTTTTTAAAAAATAAATTAGTCCAGAAGAAAGGCACTTGTATGAGTCCATATATTTTAGTTGCATGTAAATGCATGTGTAGATGATGGAAAATATTCTAATTTATACCTACAATACATTGGCATTTTCATTTACTACAGCAGGTATAAATGAGTTACCAACAAAGTTCATGTTAGTTTTATTAAACATTTGGAAACCATTGAGTTTTTACAGCTCATAAGTAAATTTCAGATAATAGGAAAGTAATTTTGCCACTGGTTAAAAGCTATTTATTACCTGAATTAGATTGTATCTATGTTTACAAGGGGGAGGGAGGGAGTACTATTTGCAGCTGCTAGTAAGAAAAACCCACAGTATGAGATTAGAAATGGCTGCTAATTGCAAGATAAAATTATTCAGCTATTTTAGAAGAATTTTGATTTCTATATTCATTTGATGATGTAGGTACAAGATTGAATCAAAATATTTTGCACAGCACTTTTTTAGTTTTTTGTGACTGAATTATTATTATTACTGCTACTACTGCTTCTTTACCTTCTCCTTCTATGAACTGTTCAAAATTCCAGATCATAATTGTTGATCTTCAGTGTGAAATTTTCTCTCTAACTTTCTAAATTCATAGATGATCTTGTGGATCTAAACTATATGCCAGAAATTCTGCAAGAAATAGATGTAATACAGTGTAATTATTATTTAAATTATTTTCTGTGGATGAATGATAGCACAATGAAGTTAGCAAAAAAGAGAAAGTGATGGATGAAATGGGGAGATAGAAGAAAAACGGTACATAAGAAAGGAAATAGTAATTATAATACAATTATAATTGTTATACAGCAAGGTTAGATAAATAATACTTTGTTTAAAAATTAACACGTGCAGGATCAAGTGAGGCCTAAAGAACATAGAAAAGGAACTTAAAACCTTATAAACTGAAGACTGTTTATCTGTCCCCTCATAAAAAAAAAGTCTAATAATCCAACTGATCTGATGGTGCTGAACATTACCTGTCAGGTATGTATTGACAAGAGCTGAAAGTCTGGTCTGTTTTTAGTATAGGAAACTAAAAACTAGTGCCTCCTTCTACTATATTTCTAGGAATATTCTCTTCCCAAATCCAATCCATACTACTCTGTGATACTGGCAGAAGATTTTTGTTCTTCCAGACTCTCCTTTTTACTCCTGACAATACAAGGAGACAATACAAGGAGACAATACTAAACAAAGTTACAATTTCATAGCTCTGTTTTGCCACTGAATTATTAAGAGCCTAATGCTGTTTTAATTGCTCTTCTTACTGATAAGCCAAATTTGCTATTGTATTCATTATTGATGTTCACACACCCCCAAAGTACGTCATGAGCAACGTGTCTTCTGCTTGATATTCTCTCGATTCCAGAGGCATTCCACAAACTGAAAAGTGCTACTAGCTCAGTGTCTTGAGTCAGTCCTGCTCTGAAAGTGAAGTTATACATCAAAATATCACAAGAGTCTTAATCATGATTAAATGCTGCAGATTGTGCTACAAATTAAATTGTTTACTCCATTAATTTCTGCCTCTTTTTATATAGATAAATTGTCTGGATGTTAATCTTATTCTGTGAAAGTACTCATAAATTGTAAAGTGTTTGTACTATTTCCTTCATATAAAGATGATGAATGCTATTCGAGTTTTGGTTTGGTCAAAGCTCATATGATAATTTCCAGGGGAAGGTCTTGAAGCACACGGCCAGTCTTTTAATTTCTCATAGAATATTTTATTTTATAATTTCAGTCTTGAAAGGTGATGTTGGCAGCATATTTGGCAACATTTATAATTGAAACAGTTAATGCCTCTGAACTAAGCTGCTCTTTTTCAGTTGACTCTGTCTACTCTAGCTGCCAAACCAAATGAAAGAGGGGTATTGGCGAATTCTATACAAATAGTCCTTGACTTACAATTTCCGTTGTAAGCAAGGTGGTTGTTAAAAGAGTTGCACCCAATTTTATGACCTTTTTCTGCTAGGGTTGTTAAGTTAATCACACAGTCACTTAAGAGTCTGGTTTCCTCCATAGATTTTGTTTATTGGAAAACCATTAGGAAAATCGTAAATCACAGGACCACAGGATGTTGCAACCTAAATGCATGTAGGTTGCCGAGCACCTGAATTTTGATAAATGGCCAGTGGAGATACTGTGATGGTTTAAGTGCAAATGCCGGTTGTAAGTCAATTTTTTTTCAGTGTATTGCAACTCTGAACAGTCACTAAATGAATGGTTGTAAGTCAAGGACTGTAATACGGCTGTTTATAGGGATGAACAGTCTCTGCCCTTCCTCCCCTGTGAAACCTGAACCTACAGGTACTCGTTCCCTTCCCAAATCTGGCAAAAATACCAAAACTACTTCCAAATTGGGGTGTATGTGCTGTGTGGCCTGCCAAAGATTTTAAAAATATGGCAGTATTCTCTGTAAAAGCCCTCCCTCTTTCAGTGTTTTATAGTGCCTTTTTATGCTTTGTGTGTATTAGCCTAAATTTGCATTAAAGCTTCTCGGAATAGCTAATGCAAAGGAAGAAGGCAAACAACCCATTTAGTGAGACATTTCCCTTTCTAAATATACAGTTGAGAAAATTATCCTGCCATATATCTGCACGGACACCAACCAGCCTTCAAAGCCCCATTTCCAGTATCAGCAGAGTAGTTTGCAGTTTGGTGATTCTCTGCTATTATTGCCTTAATTAAAAGACATGGCTGAGTCTTCATAATGTTAATTATGTATATAATGTCTGTGAAACTGAATGGCTCTTAAAGGGACACCAATCAGGAATATCCTTACAAACTTACAGCTAACATTTATATTACCCCAGCCCCTTGTTCATGGGAAGATTTTACAGGTAATGTTTCAAAAAAAATCCTTTGCTTTTTTTTTTTACTGCTGAAAGTTTTTTTAATGAATATATGTAAATTTTAACCTGAATATTAAATAGGAGAATAATGTTTCTGACTGTATCCTCAGGCTGGAATTCTTATACGTAGCTGGAAGTCTTACAGTGTTGAAATTCTTTTTCCTACCACAAATAACAAAATCAAATGTTAACAAAAAATCCTTATTTAAGTATTTACTGAGCTCCTGTTGTGCCCTTGCTTACAACGGAAAAAAGAGTCTTCTTTTTTCTTGCTGAATATTACTGACTATGATAATAAATGTGCAGTTAGGGATAAAGTGGGGAACAAAGCCAGTATTTCCACTAATATTCTAAGAGCCTTCCAGTATATCTTACAATGCATTGCTGCATAAGAAAGCTATAAAAAGAACCTCACAAAATGGGGAAAATCTAACCTTTAAAAAAAACTTGGGGGTTACAGTATAAATCGAAGACAGGGGTCTTAATCAATCCAAGCCACCTCCAGGGGCTGACTGCTATCTGTAAGCAAGTGAATGCACCATTCTGCAGTGCAGAATAAACTGGCCCTGAATCACTTGGGGTGAGTCTGGAGGCCTGGTGAAGAGTCTCTTCATCCTTGATGTATACAAATATTTTAATTGTCCTGACCATATCTTTCAGCCTCATTAGGTAGACCAGACAGGACGCCATGACAAGATGAGCTAATTCTACTTTATTATAAAGCTACATCAGCAGAACCTTTAGCAAGTCTGAAAATGACATTCTCCCTTCCTCTCCTTTAACAGCAAGAAACTAGGGAAAGTCTGTTCTGAGCCTCTTGCATGATCCATTATCCAGCTGCAGACTCTGCTGTCTCTCATCTGATCATTTCCTAGGCAGCGCTCCTTGGCCCATTCTACCAAGGTTTTTCCCCATATGCCATTAAAATTTAGTGTTCCTTGCTTGAAGAAGGAATCAAGTAATTTATATTACATCCCTAACAAATATTTGTTTTTTTCTGGTTTGTATTTTATTTAACTATGAATAGCATTTTCCATTATAAGGCAGAGATTATACACTTTTACTAACACTGGTCAACTGTTTATTTATACAAGATTACATAAATCGACTGCTGTCATTAAATAGTGTGACAGATACTTAATTGTCTTCTGTGACTAGGGAAATTATTATTATCTCTTAAAATGTGCTATATCCGGATTCAGCCTTTGTTCTAAATAAATATTCCTATTTGTTTCCTCAACGTAAGAGTTGTGCCCATTTAAAGTATAGAAGTTAAAACTATTACTTTTGCTAAGTATATCTTTAATCTGAAAATGTTGGTATTCCAATTATTTCCTGAGGAAAATTAATACTTATGTCACATATGTCACATTGACTCTGAACATTAATGTACAAAATACCAAATAGGGATAAAGGGAATAAACTTTTTTTTTACAAAATGTTGAAAAACGTAGAATTTAGGAGACAAAAGAAAATATGTAAGCAAAAGAATAAAGAAATATGAATCCGTTTTCTCCTATTTGAACTACAGTGAGTTAAATGGGGCATACTTCATAGGTTGTACACATTAATTAATGTCAAGATTGCTGTAACTTTTTAAATTGTTCAACAGTATTTACAAAGTTCCCAACCATTTAAATTTGTATTTATTTCCATAAGCCAAAAGCCACCAGTATCGCCATAAAGTTCAGGCCTGGCCCAGAGAGAGCAATTGATTCTCTAACTATGATAAAATATAAAGGACATTTCCACCGATGTTAGAATGGCTTCAACCATCACAATAAAATACAGCGTTCATTGTAATTACATGATAAAATGTCCATATTATTGTTAATAAAATTGATTTTAAAAACTACGATTAATGTATTGTGTTATCTTTAAGAAACAATAGCAAATGGCCTAAATTCATGTGTTTGAATGATTTAATCTGTTAGCTGTGTGGCTGAACTAAGAATATGTTAAAAAAAAAAATCTTGCCTAGTGGCTGTATCTTTGGTATCTTGGGTATCTTCTAAAGCAGCGGTTCTCAACCTATGGGTCGCGACCCCATTTGGGGTCGATCGACCATTTTTCGGGGGTTGCCAAAGAAGGCGATCCGCCATTTTCTCCCCTCAGGGGGCGGCGCCGCGCATGCGCGCCGCGCATGCGCAGAACGTTTGTGTGACGGGGGTCGCCGTCACACAAACGTTGAGAACCACTGTTCTAAAGCTAATAGAGAGCAGGAAAGAAAGAAAAAGTAAAAGAAAAGAAAAAATACAAAGATGTGGCTTCTAATCTTCCTTAAAACAGTTAAATTTAGCTCCATTTTTAAAGTTACATTACTCTCTTCTTTCTATAATCTATTCTATCTAATCATCAAAACTATAAACCATAAGTTTATTTTCTTCCTGCTTTACGCAAAACAAAGATATTGAGCTTTTTTTCTGATCACATTGAATGTGGCTTCCCTATTGACTTTGCTCATCCAAAGGTCATAAAACATGATCACATGACCCTGGGACACTGCAACCGTCATAAATATGAGACAGCTGCCAAAAGCCTGAATTTTAATCACGTAACCATAGGGATGCTGCAACGGTCATGTGAAAAAGTGTCATAAGTCACTTTTCAGTGCTGTTGTAGCTTCAAATGGTCAGTAAACAAATGGTTGTAAGTCAAGAACTACCTGTATACTACTTGGTATACCTGAGTCTCATTCCAAGCAGCAGATCCATTACTATTCAGTTGTACGGGGTGTACTGGATTTGCTTCAACAACACTTCCATGTTTTTGTATAGTTCATGTGTTAGCATAGCCAACAACTACTAACGGGTGTACATTGCTATTGTGCAAAAACCAAAGATTTCTATACAACAATATGTTTAATTTAGTGGAACATCCTGCCTCCAGAAGCAGTAAATGCTCCAACACTGGAAGTTTTTAAGAAGAGACTGGACAGCCATCTGTCCGAAATGGTGTAGGGTTTCCTGCCTGAGCAGGGGGTTGGACTAGATGACCTCCAACGTCCCTTCCAACTTTACTACTATTATTATTATGTGCTAAAATATAAGGATAAATTACAAGTTATTTTCATGATGAGCAGCCAAAAATCAATAAGATACACCCAAAACTTCAGGAAGCAAAATCTTTGTTTTTCAGTGCTATCAATAACTACAAATATTAAGATTGAATTGTTGTGAAAAAGACAGCCATGTATTAAATGTTGGCTTATTAAAAATCTATCAACTCTCAGCCTTTGAATTAGCTTTGTATTAAAGGAGAGGCATAATGGGGAATATCCATATGTTTTAGGCTTGTTTAAAAGTCAAACCATTACACTGAAAAGCAGTCAATGGGGAAACCAGACTCATTTAACAACCATGTTACTAATTTAACAACTGCAGTGATTCACTTAACAAATGTGGCAAGAAAAGTCGTGAAATGGGGCAAAACTCACTTAACAAATTTTTCACTTAGCAACATAAATTTGGGGCTCAGTTGTGATCCTAAGTTGAAGACTACCTGTAGCGACCAGGTTTTGGTTTTTGCATCCACTTGACTTGTTCTGAACACTAGGGTTTCCCCTAGCCCAAACACTTGAAAATAGTCTAATACAGGTAGTCCTCAACTTACAACAGTTCATTTAGTGACCATTCAAAGTTACAAAGGCATTAAAAAATGTGACTTACGACTGTTTTTCACAGTTACGACCTTTGCAGCATCCCCATGATCATGTAATCAAAATTGCTTGGCAACTGGTTCATATTTATGACGGTTGCAGTGTCCCAGGGTCAGGTGATCATCTTTTATGATCTTCTGACAAGCAAAGTCAATGGGGAAGCCAGATTCACTTAACAACCAGGTTACTAACTTATCACCTGCAATGATTCACTAAGAACTGTGACAAGAAAAGTCATAAAATGGAGCAAAACTCACTTAACCAATATCTCACTTAACAACAGAAATTTTGGGCTCAATTGTGGCCATAAGTCGAGGACTGCATTAAATGGTCTTGGTTGGATCCACCTTCTATATCAGTGGTTCTCAACCTTTCTAATGCCGTGACCCCATAATACAGTTCCCCATGTTGTGGTGACCCCCAAGTGGGTGTGGCCACCAATAAGAGGGAGTAGGACAGCTAAGGAAAAGGGGGGAAAAATGGCGGACAGCATGGTTTGGTGACCCCCGTGAAATGGTCATTCGACCCCAAATGGGGTCCCGACCCACAGGTTGAGAACCACTGTTCTATATATACCAGTCTTTGGCATCTGAGCAAAAAATTAAGGGAACTGAAGTCCCCAAGCATCTAAGGCATATCAATTTTGAGAAAGACTATCTTAAAATACATAGATATTGTTTTTCCTACAGCAGAATAACACAACTGCTCCCCAGGCATTTTGGACAAATGTCTCTCCCCGCCGGATATATATGAAAATAAAGGGGAGATCCTTTATTTATACAGTAGATCCTCTTAGGAAGGGAGGAAAAAAAATCTAAATCTGGTTTTCTGCTATCCAGCCATGCCTCTTTAGAGCCATCCTCCAGGCAAGTTTATTTGAAAGAAAAACTGCCTCACGTCCAGTCAGATTTGTTCCCAGATAAATATTAGTCTTAAGCCTAAAGCGAATAATTTGGGAGAGTGAGAAAGCCGAAACTAGGAAAGAAGTCCCTCCACATGGGACTTATTCTGCAATTAAAACTTCCTTCGAAACAAGGTACACAGGGCATCACCCCGCTTACTTGCGAGTAATGGTGACTATGAATAGCATTTTCCATTATAAGGCAGATTATACACTTTTACTAACATGGTCAACTATTTATTTATACAAGATTACATAAATCGACTGCTGTCATTAAATAGTGTGACAGATACTTAATTGTCTTCTGTGACTAGGGAAATTATTATTATCTCTTAAAATGTGCTATATCTGGATTCAACCTTTGTTCTAAATAAATATTCCTATTTGTTTCCTCAACGTAAGAGTTGTGCCCATTTAAAGTATAGAAGTTAAAACTATTATTTTTGCTAAGCATATCTTTAATCTGAAAATGTTGGTATTCCAATTATTTCCTGAGGAAAATTAATACTTATGTCACATATGTCACATTGACTCTGAACATTAATGTACAAAATACCAAACAGGGATAAAGGGAATAAACTTTTTTTTACAAAATGTTGAAAAACGTAGAAATTAGGAGACAAAAGAAAATATGTAAGCAAAAGAATAAAGAAATATGAATCCGTTTTCTCCTATTTGAACTACAGTGAGTTAAACGGGGCATACTACATAGGCTGTACATTGTATAAAAATATGTAGAACGACAACCAGCTGAATTGTTCTTGCTGAGACATTATAATAAAAGGTGATAATTAAGCAAAAAGATCAATAAAGGAGAGTATTTGTAGCTCAGGGTTGAAATGAGGGATCCTTGGAGTTCTCTGAGCTTGCTTGCTTTCTTGCACATGTTTCATTACCCAACCTAGGTAACATCATCAGTACCAGTAAGGAGTGCAGTTTATATTATATTCTGCCAACATTGGTGGGGGTAGTCTTAGAGATTCTTTGGGTGGGCTGTTTGCTGTTGGCTTCTTTGGCACTTTACTTGATTAACCTTGGAGTTAATCTACCCTGATCTGGTTGCTGATTGCTGGTGGAGAGGTGCTTGGGTGTAGTTCCCTTTTTGGGCTGGGTGGATAGTCTCTTTTGCAGAATCTATAGATGTTGTTAGTGTCTATGTGTCTATTGATGGCTGATTTGTCAGAGTGCCAGGCTTCTAGAAGTTCCCTGGCATTTTTGGACTTGGCTTGGTCTAGGATGGTCACATTTTTCCAATTGATTAAATCTGTCTATATGTTGTGAAATTAAAGAATGTTCATCATGGCTTCTGACAGCTAGTTGGTGTTCATGCGTGCATTCTGCCAGTCTTCTGCTTATTATTCTACATAGTGGGTGTTGCAATTCTTGATTAACCTTGGAGTTAATCTACGCTGATCTGGTTGCTGATTGCTGGTGGAAAGGTGCTTGGGTCTAGTTCCCTTTTTGGGCTGGGTGGATAGTCTCTTTTGCAGAATCTATAGATGTTGTTAGTGTCTATGTGTCTATTGATGGCTGATTTGTCAGAGTGCCAGGCTTCTAGAAGTTCCCTGGCATTTTTGGACTTGGCTTGGTCTAGGATGGTCACATTTTTCCAATTGATTAAATCTGTCTATATGTTGTGAAATTAAAGAATGTTCATCATGGCTTCTGACAGCTAGTTGGTGTTCATGCGTGCATTCTGCCAGTCTTCTGCTTATTATTCTACATAGTGGGTGTTGCAATTCTTGATTAATCTTGGAGTTAATCTACGCTGATCTGGTTGCTGATTGCTGATGGAAAGGTGCTTGGGTCTAGTTCTCTTTTCGCAGAGTCTATAGATGTTGTCAGTGTCTATGTGTCTATTGATGGCTGATTTGTATTCTAATTGTCCCTATTTGGTTTCCTGAGTGGTGGTCAGGATCAAGGCTAGCCTTGGGGAAAGGTGGGGAATATAAATTGTCTGTGGCTTTGTGTTTTCTAACTTAATCCTTAATCCTGTCAATTCAGCCTGACTCAGTCTTCTAAAGGGAGTTACTTGAGGCCATTCTGGCTGGGAGGCAGGTATTACTTTAGCTTCTCTGGATGTTTTTTCTTTCCCTTCTCTGGGGGCTTGGAAATAAAGGGAGGTGGATGTCTTATGATTCTTCCTATGCAACTAAAGCCCTTCAAAACACTTTAAGCAAACCAAAAGACCCCAGATGAAACATAAGGATTGCAACACCCAGTATGTAGAATAAATAAGCAGAAGACTGGCAGAATGCACGCATGAACACCAACTAGCTGTTAGAAGCCATGATGA